TTTTGTATCTCTAAGGCCTCACGGACTTTTCTTTCAAGTTTTTTATTCTCAATTTTAAGTGTTAATACTTTATTCTATTCAATGTCCTTAAAACAATTTACTTTATGCAAAGCTAATGCAGACTGGTTTAACTTGCCTTCAGTCAAAAATTTTTAATGTTGTTGAACCCTTGTTCGTATATTAAGTTTTGCTTCACCAACGTATACTTTGGAGCATTTGCACTTAATTAAATAGGTTCTTGGGGTGCTGTTGCATGGTAATTTAGACTTAATTTTAGACGTTAATAGCGTTTTAAGGTTAGCATTTGATTTAAAAACAGTTCTGTAACCAGCTTTTCTGAATATTCTTCTAAATCTGGGAGATATTATTGGTATCCATGGTAAAGACATTGTAGGAAGGTTATTAGAAATTGATGGAATTTTATTTTTGTTTGCAAAACGTTTTTTAGAAATATAGAAATATCTTTAAGCATTTTTTCATCGTATCCATATTCAGTAAACACTTGAATTAAAAAATTTATCTCATCTTTAAAATGGTTTTCGCGGCATATTGAGTATGCTCTTTGTATGTATCTTTTAAATATTGTTTTTAAAATTTTAGGATCATGGTTAGAATGAGGTTTGATTTGGATATTGGTTATTGAATACTTCCTGTAAACCTTGAGCTCATAATTTCCTTGGGTATTATTAATAATAGTTATATCCAAAAAGTTTAGTATCTTATTTTTGTTTTCAACCTCAATAGTGTATTTTAAAGAAGGATGTTGTCTGTTAAGAATTATTTGGAACTGTTCCGCGTGATTTAAGTTACAAAACCTTGTATGGCTATCGTCTACATATCTATGAAAGGATTTAATATCAATTAAAGGAATCATTGTCGTTGCCACTTTTATTGCTTTTTCCTCACGGTATTGTAAAAAAGATTCAGCCAAAACAACCATAAAAGACAATCCAATTGGGCCTGAATTTTTCAACTCATGAATCTCACCATTCATCAAGAAATAGCAACGAAACAAACAAAGTTCAATTAGTTGTTTTTTTTTCAGTTAAAGTAAGTTTAGTTTTTGTAAGAAACGCTTTTATTTGATTGATCCAAAAGTATTAAAGTTGCTTCTTTTAATGGTATTGATGGGTTTAAGTTCACAATATCAAAGAATACCTGTATTTCATCTTTATCAATCAACCACGACTTAGCCGATCTTTGTAAATCAACCACGACGTTTTTCTAATGATGAATATGAAAACGTATACCCGAGTGATCCTGCCCCACCACGTTTGTATGGGCTAATTAAAGCTCATAAACAAGAAAAATTTTATCCGATGAGAGTAGTTGTATCAACTATTGGTACACCTTATTATGGAATTTTGAATTACTTGGTTAAAAGAATACAACCGGTTTAAACGAAAATCCTATTAGGTTAAAAATTTCAAAAGATTTTATTGACAAGACTAAGTCGTGGTTGATTGACAAAGATGAAATACAGGTATCCTTTGATATTGTGAACTTATACCCATCAATACCATTAAAAGAAGAAACTTTAATACTTTTGGATCAATTAAATAAAAGCGTTTCTTACAAAAACTCAACTAAACTTACTTCAACTGAAAAAAACAACTAATTAAACTTTATTTGTTTCGTTGTTATTTCTTTTGAAATGGTGAGATTCATGAGTTGGAGAATTCAGGCCAATTCAGGCCAATGTTAAATATTTTTTATATGAAATTATAACAAAAACCTAGATATAAAAAAGCCTTAATATTTCTATAAATTTGCATAAACGTTATAAACAA